AAAACGGAATCTAACTGGTCAGAGCTAGCGTACTGCCTAAAGGAATTATCCGCACCTTTAAAAAGTCTACGTCTAGCGTTTTCAAGCTAGCTACCGCTTACGGGGATCACCCCCGTCCGCCATCTCGCTTAATCGTACTGTATGTCTCTCCGGCATGTGACTTCGGCAGGCATTCTCGAAGGCATGGCGATGTTGCATGTAGAACAGTCCGAGCTCGCCTTCCATCCAAGCGGGGAGGGTTTGCAGTACCCCAATTTGTACACTAATTTAGCTGGTTCCAGGGCACTTTGCAGGGTCGTACGGAACCCTCGAGGTGCGCTGGAGCTACCTCAAATTTACTTTATAGGTTGATCTACTCGCACCGATTGAAAAGATATGGCTAGACCCGGAAGGCAGCTCGAAGGGTAGCAAAGGAACGGAACCTAGTGCTGAGGGCACTATGGCTTTCGAGAAGCTGGCAATGGCCTGTCGACAGGTTAATCTAGACAATGAATGTAAGCCGCCATTGGTCTTCTTGCAAAGCTAAATGCTAGCTGCATGGTCATATCATCAGCTTTGCTACTGCCGGCGCTGCCCCGGTGGGTTGACTCGCGGGAATCCAGTCGGCTCGTACTATGTGTAAGCAGGTTGATAGTGCAAGGCCCTGCAGGCTAATGCTCTGTCTCGCGCGATGGCCTGCCCCCAGCCCTCTCCAAGCAAGAGCCGTCAGCCCGCAAGAGATGAGATCAGGGCATCCATGTCGAGGGAAAAGAGTTTGTGGTGCCAATGGAATGTGTGAGACAGCCTGTAATTATTAGAAGACAGGACAGCGGAAGTATGGGTAGAGTCCGAAGGGGGTTGACTGCCACGACGTGGCCTTTGCGCAGCGCGAAAAGAGGTGGTCAATATTGCCGGCTTTCACGATCAATTGGTACCTGCCTTGCACTCCTGTCTATCAAGGCTCCGTTAAAAAGGAGATATTCTTTCGCTGGCTTGCAGACGATGTATTGCCGCTGCTTGACGGAGGTCCGCAGATGATCTTTGTTATGGACAATTGTTTAATCCATCACGGCGCGAATATAGTGCGCCTGATCCTGGAAGCTGGCCCCCGGATTGAGTACCTGCCGCCGTATTCGCCTAATCCGAACCCTATTGAACAGACCTTTAAAGTTTAATATTCTGAAGAAGTTTATTAAAATAAGCGGCATATTCGTTTCCGTATCCTTGTCGCAAGCTCCTCGAACACTCCGACTCCGGCCTAAAAATAGTAGGCTTCGCTCGGATAAGAACGCTAGTCGAGAGCCAAGCGTTCGAGGTAATTAGAAATAGAAGTTTGTCCTAGTCTATGTCCGGTCTATATATTAGGACGATAGAACTTCTCCTTACATCGCTTGTAGCTACGAAACATTCATCCAATCCGAATAGCTAGCATCTCCTACATTTTATCCTTTTTATCTACAAGCTGTTGTAGGTAGCTACACCGCCGCTATACAAACCAGGCTATTGCAAACACTAATACTCTGAAAGGACTTTCCGAAAATGCTTGTACCACAACTCGCTACGTTTACTCTTCTCGCAAGCACTGTGCTCGCGGGAAAGGGATGCAGGAGATGCGACTGTCACGTTTCTCTAAGATCATGGATAAACCAGTACGATGCGGATGAGGCAGCAGGGTCTGCGCGTCAGTGGGTTCAACGTCTGGTAGCGAATGGCGACTTTGAGCAATTCCAAATGAGTGCGGCGCCAAGTGCGAAATGCACTTCGCAGAAATGCGACTACTGGCAAGCCTGGTTTAAGGCATGGAGGCTCTGTGCTAATGGCAGTAGCTACTCTTGCTCATCAGGCGCATGGGGTACCCTACGGTACACGATCGACTGTTCCAATTGCGAATCTGTGGGGTGCGGGGGCGATTGCACAACTGATTGTAGGGTTTTCTAAATGGCGGTCGGAAAAATTCTAGATGGCGGTTTCACGCTTTGGGACTTTAGTTAGGAATTAGTTAGTAATCTTCCTAGCAACGCGAATTTACATACTACACACGCGCAAACCAGTCCCAATCTACTCCTAATACATATATCGCTATAATAGCGACCGCTAAGGCTACTACGCCTTATAGTACTACCGCCGAATATAAAGACGCGCTTCTCGACCTGCAAATAGCCGCTATAGGCGCTAAAGGCGCTAAAGGCGCTAATAAAGGCGCTAATAAAGGCGCTAACGGTAAGGATAGTATTATAGGCGCTAAAGGCGCTAAAGGCGCTAAAGGCGAGTACTATAAAGGCGAAGATCCGGACCTACGCGTAGTAAGCGGAATATAGTACTAGGATATCCCTAATCTAGAGGTTCTCGAATACAGCTCGTACGCCGAGTGTTATAAGGCCTTAATAGCGTTTAGCGAGCGTAATAGCTTCGTTATCTATCGAGATAGCGGCGTTAAGCGTAATAGCGAGAACCTCGAGATATCTATACTATTAAAGTATTAGAAGGGCTTTAGAAAGAGCAGGTTAAAGGCGGCGGCGGCGGAAGAAGCGAGGCGTTCTATATACCTTAGTAACTGTCTATTCTCGGTAATATTAAAGGCTATAGATAAGTTAGACCTAGCTAGAAAGTAGACATTTAGTTTTAGCAAGAATCCTTAGTATAACTACCCTTTAGTCGACTTAAGCGGCCTTGCATTCTATTAACGTAGATATAGAGGTATTAAGGTTAGCGAATTCCTTACTAACTGTCGCCGTTGCGCTATATTACCGAAACAGACTCTCGCTCTTGCTTTTAAGCAGTTTGTACTAAAGGAAGCTAATGCGCTAGCAACTAGACCGATTGTAAAGGATATCTATAATAAATAGGCGAAGATAAGAGCTAAGGACCTTTAAGGAGCTATACTAATCGAGAAGGTACTAGAAATACTATAACAGGACGGCTACTAGTTCAAATACGAGAAGGATAAGGAAGACAGGCTTATATAGCTCTTCTTTATTAACCCGGAAATAGCGAAGATATATTAGGAGTTAGGTTACGCCCTTGTTATCGATATAATATACAAAACTAACCTCTATAAGCTGCCTCTTTATACTATCTACTTTATTACTTCTATAGGCCAAACTCTACCTCTTAGCTATTGTTTAATGCTTAGTAAGAAGGAGACTAACTATCGCTTCGTCTATAGCTGTTTAGACCTCGCATTCGATAAACTCTAGCTTAATAAGCCCTCTATCCTCTTCTACGATAGGTATAGAGCCGAGATTAACGCAATTAATAGTATCTTTCCTTAGGTTCTAGCTATGCTCTATATATAGTATATAAATACTAATGTCGAGGCGTATATAATAGACAAGCTTAGTAGGAAGTATGTTAGCGGCCGCTATATTCTAGACGACTAGGCTAAGGACTTCTTAGTTAGTTATTGTCGCTATATTAACGTAGCGAGCGAGGTAGAGTTTAATATAGCTTGTTAGGAGTTAAAGGACCAGAATGCGACTTCTTAGTAGCAGGATATAGTTAAATATCTCGAAGATTAGTAGTAGCCTTATAAAGAGAAGTGTATTAAAGCCTAGGTCGATAAACACCTTTATTACGGCTTCTTAACAACCTCTCCTATAGAGTCCGGATACGCTAGTTTGAAGGGCTAGTTATAGAGCGCTCGTAACGACGTCTATACCCTTATTTAGAAGATAGCTATCTACTTCCTCTCGTATACTAGGCGATACTAATATAAGAAGGCGGAGGCACTAAATAAGACGTCTATAGCCTTTGTAGATAAGCCAATCCTTTAGAGTCTAAAGAACAATATTACTAACCGAGGGTTAAGCCTCTTCTAGCAGTAGAGGCAACGCTTGCTTAGTAAGCTTGATTAGAAGGCTAATAACCCTAAGTACTAGGTATCGACTTGTTCTTATTACTTCCAGCGTACAATAGGTATACCTTGCAGTTACGAGATAGCGCTATTTATTAATAAACGAGTCCTTCTATAACTAGACCTATTCGACAGGTTCTACTACAAACTAGGCGCTTAGCGGTATATAGAAGGTAATAGGCAACGCCTCTTCGAGCCTTAAATACGCTATTATAAGCAACAGTTGCGCGCTTAGTTATTATACGCCGCTAATACTAGCGAATACGGCACTTAACGTAACCCTTCGAGGTTTGAATATATAGAAGCCGCCGCCGCCGCCGCCGTAGGAGTAGAAGGCCTATCGTCTACTTAACTCGCACGCCGCAATAGCGACGTTGTCCGTCTAATCTAGTTAAATGCGCCTTCTTAAGCGACTTAGAAGAAGCTAAAGGGTTGTAGTTACTAGCTATTAAAGAACCGCTATTATAGTAGTACTAGTTGCGGCTGTAAGAAGGGCAAGTTAGGTTCTAATAGATACTGCACCTTCTATTGCTACGGAGACACAGTCTATAACAATATAGATCTAGCGACGGTAAGGCTAATATAACAACTAGCCGCTACTAAACAACTAGCCGCTCCTAAGGAAGATAGACTCGATAAGCTATAGAAGATAGTAGACGCCCTTCTATAATAGCAAGCGCAACAAGGCTTCGTTGCTAACTAACTTCTTTACTACCCGCCTTAGCAGCCGTACTAAGCGATGCCTCCGCCCTCCTTACCTGCTTCTATATACCAAGTTTCGCACTATGTTAGAGGCTAATAGTAGGCGAGTTATATGCAGCCGTATAGAGCGTAGGGACCGAGAGGAAACCCGTAGAGCTACGAGAGGCTTTAGTATAGAGGAAACTATACTCTAGGACACCTATAAGGACTGCCTATAGCTCCTCCGCTAGCACCGGCGTACGCACCAAATTTCTTAGGTAGATAGGGTGCTTAAGGAGGATTAGAAGGTAAGGAAACTAGGTATCTACGAGCTAACAATCCTCCGCGGAGCTAGCAGCGTTAGCGGCCTCTATTTAGATACGAGAACGGCTCGAATTAATATTGAATTAGTAGAACTAATAAGCCGACTTTAGCTTCCCTTACCTAGTAGCTACTTAACTACACTACATTGTATTATCGTCAAATTGAATATATATCAAGATATTACCTTTCTTATCTTTAGCGCGCTTTGCTGTATATTAAAATACGTTGTAGTTGCTAAGATATAGCGGTGCGAAGGTGTTGTTATATAAAGCTAAAGTTTAGCTTACTAATTAGTAAAACCGCTATCTAGAATTTTTCCGACCGCTATTTAGAAAAACCCCTGATTGTTAGGGCTTGTCCGGTTTCAAATGCGGTTCTAAGGGCAGGTAGATCTACTGCCGCAGATTAGACCTATACTACGCCTAGCACTATCGGACCGGCTATTTCTTCTATAGATTGAAAAGACACTTATAAAGACCTTCCGCATATTGTTATAGCGCACTTATCCGGTTGTAGCTGCAGTTGTACTTATAGAAATGTAACGAAGACTAAATACTAGCTATATAGCCGCCCTCGGGTCTACCCGAGTAGGGCTTAGCAAGCAGAATTTACGCTTCCCTAAGAATGCGACGAATTCTATTGTTTCTACTATTACGAACATTAATACTAATAATGTCTATATATATCATTATACACGCCGAAATTATAATAAGATTATGCGCTTCAATTTGCGCTAAAAATCAGCTCGATACGATACTTCCTTATTAAGAAACAAATCTAGCCGTCGCTATGCCCGACTTACTATCTCTACCCGAGCTTTAAGACTCCTAGTTCTCGTAGACTGCTACCTAAACTATACTATAAGACACACAAAGCACAGGATCTTAAGGGGTAGATAGTATATAGGCATTAGGAATACAAGACTATTAATCTAATACCGATAACGACGATAAGGACCTAGAAGACTAAGGCAGGCTCTAATAGACTATAAAGCTCGAAGAGACACTCCTAGAGGTTGTCGCTCTACAGATCGACCTTAATAGGTACCGTAATAGCAATCTAAGGCCTAAAGCAAGAGAAGAGATTATTAAGACTGTTAGTAGAAGGGCAAGACGTCTAGTAACCTAGAAACAGTGCAAGACGAAGCTTAATGCCTATAAAGCGCTTTACGCTACCTTCGTAGCTCTCGAAGCCGAGTTAGGCTTCGGCATTAATTAAGAGACAGGCATTATCACTACGGACAGCTTCGTTTAGAAGGACTATCTAGCTAAGAAGACACACAAAGATACGAAGCCTTTAAGGGACAAGCCTATACTATACGTTGTCTTCTACCGGACAATATTTAGCAATAAGACTACTACTAGAAAGCTCTCGAAGGGCGGTGCCTCTGCTTCTAAGAAGCGACTTGCTACGAAGACAATAACAACTCCAACTGCTTAGAAGCTACGTAAGAAGCTAAAGTCCTTGCAATAAGAACAGCCTACTGTAACGATTAATAGTAACTCGGAAGCTAATAAAGAGAATAACCCTCTAAAGGACAAGGACAAGACAACCGACATACCGCTTTCTAGTAAGGCTCTACTAGCTCCTCAAGTTGCTAAGGGTTCTATTGCTAGAGGCAACAAAGGCGGCGCAATACGGCTTGCTAATGCTATTCGAGAAGGCTTCGTTGCAATAGTACCTAATATTCTAGTTAAGCTAGCTCTTAATAGCTTAAACGACTTCAATGTGTCTTATAAGCTCTATAGAGCCTATAGCAAGGCCTTCTACGACAAGAACTTCGGCGACTTCGAAGCTAGGTCCTTCTATAAGGGCACTCTAAGATATAGGCGTATATAGCTCCGTTAGATTGCCGCCGAGAGCGCTATAGAAGAAGATATTAAGTCCGAGATTAAGTAAGCGAGTTAAGCGAGTTAAGAAGCGATCTAATTTAAGCGCGTTTCCGGCGGAGTACGGCGTTTAGCTTTCAACAACCCTAACTATCTACTATTTAATACTAGGTCTATATATATATACAAAATTTACAAGTCTTCGAGAATATATATATATTATACTCCGTGTTAATTTTTATATATATCCGACGGCTAGTTGTAATATTCTAATAGCATATAGGTTTCGATAATCTAGTAT